TGAAAGATAAAATCATTTGGCGTTAACCTTAAAAAAAAATTTTCAGTTTTAGTTTAGTTTCATTTGAATTTGAATCTTAGGTTAGAAAACGAAAAAAACAAAAAAAAACGAGAAGAGATTGAAGATTGAACGTAAATTGTAAAAATAAAAATTAAATTATCATTCTGAAACTAGTAAAATTTAATTTTGGGGAAGTAGAATATTAACGATTAAAGTATTTCGCTGTTAATCTTTAGTTGTTTTGTGTTCATGATACATTGGAAGGTTTTGTTTTGTTTTTAAAAAAAGATTTTGGTTGAGAGTTATTAACGTTAATTATATTAAACATGACTTTAACATGGCCAGATCAGTTTGTATTTAGTAATACAGTTTTACCGTAGGTTTACAGCTGATAAGACGTTCCAATTGAAGATTAATTGACAATACCATAATGTTACAACTCTTAATAGCTGCGTGTAACTCGGTCTGTGGTATTTTAACACCGTTTATATACTATTTTTACAAATAACTTTACAAGAAACAGTAAAATATTTCATATAATACTTATGTCACATCCACTTCAATTAGCTACAACGTCGAACTTCGTTCGTACGTACGTACATACGTCATTTCAAGTTGCTTTACCATATTAGTACAGTGACGTAATTGTCAATTCAAATCCCATAGTGGTAGATTTACTAAAAGTATTAGCAGTAATCGGAGAGAATAGGATTCGAGAATATTATTCAGATAGTATCACTCAGTGAAATAAATTTCAAAAGAATAAGATAAAGGTGATGAAGAATTCAGAATATTAGGATTTGAGAGAACACAAAGAGTGGATGCATATGCGCCATTGCAAACCTGTTTTTTCAGCCATGTCATTCAAAGTCTCTAACCATTGATTACTATTGTCTCGTGGACCACAACCTGGTCGTCGCATCAATTTATACCTGGTTTTTACCTCTACTCGTGAATTACAGAGAAAACGTATAGATATTATATTGATCAATTAATATCTGCCTGATGAAGTCAAATGATTAGCTCTGCGGTATTCAGAGATATTGATTATTGGAAATAATGATGGATTTACAGTTTCTAACTTTCACTATTATACATTTGCGATCATCAATCAATCATTGTTAGACCACTAATAGAAACCTGGAAGCACTGGACGACCGTTTCGCCCTGGTATGGGACTCATCAGCAGTGCGCATCCACGACTCCTGTACCTGGCAGGGTTCGAACCTGTGACCTCTGAACAACTGGACTGGCATCCATCGGTGTTAATGTGTAACTCTGATTGATCTAGGGATTTTGCACGACCTCAATTGTGTAAAAACATTAATCTTCATAATTATAATTGAAAATTAACAATTATATTTAGCAGTGATTGTTTTTTTTTAAATTTCATTACAGGAACAACTCCATGGGATACAGGATCTTCGATTGCTAAAAATCAATCAATTGTAAATAATGATGACATAACATTGAAACGAAATGATGATTTAGACTTATTCACATCACATCAACTTGATTCTACTAATAATTTAATTTCAGTTAATAATTCTACTAGTGATAATAATAATAATAATAATACCAATAACATTTTAAATACTCCATCAAAAATGAATACATTATCTTATATACCACCAGGATTAATATCAATTATGAATGAATCGAAACAATTGACAGTATGTGCTATTGGACACTTTTCAATTGGTCATACATGGGGACCTTATCTTATTCATATTGGTTCAGAGTTTAGACAAAAACTTATCGCTTTCTCAACAGAATTTGATCCTGATTTTTCAATTACATTAACTGTAAAGGTAAAGAGAATACATTTTTTCTATCCATATATCATCATTGTTTGATTATTTTATTTGGGAAATTGATCATTAAAACTGTTTTAAGGTTGAATATTCTGATTTGTAACTTAATGGAAATGAGTGGGATGATCTGTCAGTCTATTTACATGATGTTTTAGCTATCTTAGCTAATTGTGTATGACTTTTAAATGTCTTTAGAATAAACAATGAGTGTCACTGTATGGCCATGTGTAAACAGCGTTGTCTCATCAATGATTTTATGACATGATTGACAGTATAGTTATATTTTTTAACCAGTACAAACGACTTGCATAATTTATAATGACATGTAAAAATGTGAGTCGTTTTAAAAGTGTGTTCGATTACGTTATTTAGAACCTCAACGAGCGATGTTGTTTGATGTAGAAGTTGGCTGGAACAAAGCTAGGCGCAGCCAAACCAAAACGTGGCACAAATTTATGAGGTGTAAAATCGTTTCCAATGGTGAAGGTATATTCATTCTTTGTCCTACCCCAAATTCCAAGTTTCTGAAGTCATTATAGTCGTTTCAAACTGATTTATATTTTCCTGGATCGTATATTCGATCCCTAATCTTTTCTATCATCACTGATACTGCTACTACTCTGAGATTCGTCGTGACAATTTCAGCTCTCTATACTAATAAGGCATGCTGACGAAGTTGAGAGTGAGAAAACTGAATGTTCGGCGCTGAAACCGGATTAGTGGGTACAGAAAATCCAGCTTGAGGAGTTTCAAAACCCTGATTCCAAACTAATAGTGTACATGGATTCCGAAATCCTGACGGGATAAGTGGGATATGTACATATTCTTAGTAATAGGCTACTATGTGACTTCATCTCCTGATGCTGCTTTACTATTTTGTGTGTTAGACCTTTGAATCAAAGTCTTCTAAAATTTTTCAAAAATTACGGCTTGTTTCTGACAAGCGCTACCTATCTCTACAGTCATCTTTGACGTAGTACCTGACGTTTTACATCTGCATCTCAAGCCTGGACTCAGACTGATCACATCACGAACAGCTACAGCTGATGTAGCAGTGTGCAAGATTGCAGCTCATTATGGAACACTCAACTGGATTCTGATTATCCCCTTGTTTTTGATAATCTTAATCTTATGTTTCAATGCCCGAAAAATTCATAGTCCTAAACGGAGTGATATGAACGAATTGCCTGTAGCCTCTATTGTAGTTAAGGCTAGATATCAACACACTGAAAAGTATAGATGGGCGCTAGCTGCAACTATATGATGTTATAAACGTAGAAAATAAGGTTGTCTGTGGCTCCGCCTAACATCCTGCTAATAAGCATTGAGTTTCTACATGCTCCTTACAACACATGTACATCAGTCTGCACCGTATATTCGGGAGTTTAACGATAAACAAAAATTGTCATTTGACTAAATGGTGAGAAGTTAGCCTGAGGTTCAATAAATCTACACTTCTAATTTGCACAAGACAACTTATTTTTTTCAACTATACGAATAAAAACTTTAATTTTAAATATTGTTTTTATTATTAAATTTTAGTGTAAAGATTCTGTTCATGAAAATTCGAATAGTTTAATTGTTGGCGAAGAGCATACATGGATCAAAGTGATACATGAGACTGGTCTTCATTCTGACAAGAATGAGCATAATTTGGATATTTTAGTTGATCGTAAGTTATTAAGAAGTAAAGTTCCATCGTGTATTTTTGTTAGTTAATTCCTTTTCAGTTAGTAGATGAAAATAATCGCCAGGTTACTAAATTATCTGAGCCTATGATTCTATTTAGGACTTAATATTACACAAAAGACTGAATCAAATATCATTGAGTTTAAACCAACCAACTAAACGATGTGCAACAATGTACAACGGAGAACTAATCGCATAATTAGATCAATGGTTCACAATCGATGACATTACATGCTGAAACTAACAAAGACAGTTGGAAACAATTTACCTTGATACAGAGATATGTCAATAAAACAAGTCGCAATGATTGATCTTCTCACAACTTTCAAAATTTTTTCATCCGTTATAGTCAAAGATGCATGCTCTAAAAGTTGTAGAAACTGGTCATTAGGAAATTTCAAAACTGACCTAATATTCTTATCTTGAATCTGCTCTCTTAATCCCGAACTTAAATATCGATTAGTTTTCGTATAGACACAGTAGTCTCAATATGATTTTAAATTCCGTTAGGAATTTTAATGGGAGGAGTACTGAGACAACTTATCCCTTCTATAATAAATATAACATCATCGATTCCTCATATTGTTAATGATTACTGTGTATCTATCTGTTCTTTTATTTGGTTGACCTTTCGTTATTTCTATATCAAAATATCATGAGAAGTAAGATGTATGATAAGATTGTTGTATTGCAAAAATAGTTCAAATCTTTCAAATACTCTACTTTTTATGATGATTTCAAAATATGCAGTATGTATGTACATAATAACTTAATGGAAAGCTCGATTCACTTTTCATTTCATTGATAATTTGGCTATAATTTTTCTTGTGTAAAGATTCTCGTTTCTTATACAGATCTACATTAAGATTAAATGACTCGCAGGTAGCATCTAATAAACTAACTCCTAACCTGAATTCGTGTTCATATCCGTCTCGTATAATGCCTACAAAATATTAATAACTAAAAACTCATATTTGTCGATTTTTTCTAATTTATGTGACCGATAATGAGCGTCGTGTATATTTAAACTGTAAGCACTATGATATGTTGATCGAAACTTGATCAGTCTTGCTTGGCATATGTCCGTCTTATGCGAACTATCCAAAGTGAACATCAGGCTTAGAGTGTAGGTTTATCTAACTAAATAGTCCGAAACACGCGCCCCCGATTCCACGCCCTACTACCACCCGACCGTAGCTGTTACCCTGACGTGTTGGTCGGGCTTGCCTATCGTAATGACCCAGCCAAGCTATACTGGCTGGAACATATGTTCCTGAAGGTTCTACCATGCCAGGCAGGTCGATTGGAGAACGATCAGACTAAAAGCAGCTACTCAAAGTCTGAGGGCGAAGTCGTACTGCTGACTGACTGCAGAGGGGTGTGACAGCAGTAAGGTGTTTCCCTCGGACAACCAGCATGTGCAGCGATGCTGCCTTCTTACAAGGAACGGAAGGGTTATAAAAGGTCGAGTCTAGAAATGTCACTCTTGAACTTACACCCTTCCACAGTGTGGGCAGTCGGGAAGTGACATCCGCCCATATACTTGTAACAGTACACGAAACCAAATCGATCTTAGTCATAGTGCCCCATTCCACTGTTAACTATATTCCGTCCATTAGTTTTGGTGTCGAATATTAGCTGATTCAATTATAACTTATGTATGTACACTTTTTATCGATTACTACATTTAAATATTTAAGAATTTAGAATTCCAGCAGTACAGCTGAAATATTTCTCATTTTTGAAAGGTAGAATAATAAAAACTACTATGAGTTTGGAAGTTCAATATTCACTTATCTATGAACATTATGTTGTCTAGATGAAATATTATCTCTTTCCACTGCTTGTTCAATCCTTCTAAATATCGCTAAGAGCATGTACACGAGAACTGAATTGATTATACTATGATTACTTTCTAAAAATATTTTTATCGCTCTTTTTCGATATAATTTCCTACAAATATTTTCTGTGGCTCTCTTGAGTATTAGCTATTTTCAAAAATCGGTAGTTTGCATACCTAATAGTCACAAATAGGTAGGTTTTACTGATTGACAGTAAAGAAATAACTGTATTTAACATCTTTTTCACTTTTTTTTTCTGTAAATGTGCCCATGTACGCCCGGTCAACCTAATATTAAGATTGAACATTGAAACGATCTTCAGATAAATATACAAAGAAGAATACTGTTTGTTTGGTTATCGTTAAAATTTCTCTACCTAACTTTTACTTTAATCGTGAATAATTTGTATCATCTAGATAAGCATCGTTTTTTTGATCAATCCTAAATTCATTTTTCTGATAACAGTATATGTTTCCAGGTATGCTTAAACTATGACGAGTTCACCTTAGTCGAATAATGTGAACAAAACAATGAACCAACGTCCAGGTAGGCTATTGTGATCCCTTGACCAAATCGTACCAGCAAGAAGTCTTGATATAGTGTAGAAAGTGTATTCTACAAACACCCAGCCAGTACACAATGAATCCAAGCACTCAGATTGCGTTTATTTATATTCTGTAGAGACGTCCATGGGACATTCACAAAAATAGCACACTAAAATGACACAGTAACCAATCACAACCAAGGATTCTTATGGTGAGAAATGTGATCTGAAGGCCAACTGATCGGTCCATGAAATAAATCCAAAATAAAGATATTTATCAAGCGAGTTCTGGTGGGATCTAACATCCTCAACAGTATACATTATCAATTGTTTAAATGAATACTGGTATTATTACTAGCTATTCATTCATAAAATAATTGACCGATTCTGAATTTCAGAGTGTTTTTTTCGACAGCATGTTTTTTTGTTGACTTTTCAATTCTCTTTTATCATTATATGATCAAAGGTTCTACTCATATAAATCATCTTGTATTATTATTATTCAGTGATATCATTTTTATCTCTGAGGAAAACTTCCTCTATCATGTTTTTGGCTTTTATTCTCATCATAGATTTTTCTTACATAGGAATTTGTCTAATCACAACAAATGATCATCTATTTGTAAACAGAAAATGAATGTCAGTAAAGTTTGAAGAAATAATAAAAAATACAACAACGTATTCAATGAAATTTTTTTTAACTGTCATTTATTGATTCGATTGTAAGCGCTTTTGATTTCTGTTGTCGTTGTCATCACAGCATTATTGATGATGATGATGATGACGACGACGATCGCGATGTCGATAAGATTAGGCATAACTTTGATAACTTTGATGACAAGCTCATGAATACAAAATAATAATCATGACAATAATTAAAATTAATCTGATCATTGTCATATTCAATGCTTACACATTGTTTA